CAGGTCATGATCTCACAATTTGTGAGTTTGAGACCCACATTGGGGTGGCTGTTGTCAGCGCGGGGCGCACTTTGGATCCTCTGTTCCCCCCTCTCACTGCCCCTACCCAGCTCGCGCTCTTGCTCTCAAAAATAAATATACATTTAAAAAAAAAAAAAAAGGAAATGAACTGATTGGTTAAATTTATGAAATGACGCATAGTTTTCATTCCTGAAGAACTCTCAAGTTAAAACAATGTGTGACAATAATGAAAAATAACTCAAAGGTGATACATGATTATTAAATACTGTGAGTTGAGGAAGATCTTTGTTTCTAAAAGATCGAGATGGTGGGGGAAGACCCTGAAAAATCTTGTACCATTTAGAAGCTAAGAGACATCCTTAGAATTAAGAGATTCAGATGTTAGTTTTAATTCTAAAAAATTAAGATAGTTACTTCTACCAAAAGCTGGTAGTATAATGTTAAGACAAGTTACTACCTGGGCCTTTTTCAAGGAGGTTGTGCTCTTGTCTATGAGTTTATCTCCCACCAGAAACTGGTAGCCTTTCAGCAATAGGGAGTTCAGCCTCACAGTAAGTTGTTCTAAAATACAGAAAATGTAGGGGCACCTGGTTGGCTCAGTCGATGGACTGTGCAACTCTTGATCTTGGGGTTGTGAGTTCAAGCCCCACGTTCGGTGTGGAGATTACTTAGAAAAAGAAAATAAAATATTTACAATAAGGAAAGCGTGGTTAAGTTTTTCCTACCAAACTAAAAGTATGGGTGGAATAAACACTGATGAAGAGGGAGCCATATCAGGAACAGTGCTATGATCACAAAGAGCAGATCACTTATGGTATTGTCACTGTCCTCCTTGCTATGATTCTAGTTTGTTATCCATTTTGACTTTCCCCAAACAAGCGAGACTGTAGCTCTCTTTATGTAACAAACAAATGCACAACTCATAGAAATTTAGGAAGCTAGGGTAAAAAACACTGAAAACATTTCATGCATCAATGTAAATATTCTTTATTTAGGATGGGAAGATGTAAGCATCTGAGATTTTCAAGTTATAGAATTCTCACTCATTCAAAGTTAGAGTCTGGAGTTTATTTCTGAAGCATTTAATGAAAGCTCTTTCATGTGAAGGCATATTTGTTGTATTAAACTTTAAAGCAGGCAAACTTGCAGAGCAGGCCTCTATGAAAAATGAAAGGATTTCAGATGCACAAGAAAGTGAATGAAACATAGTCAATGGTGGTCAAGAATATTCAGTTTACAGATCTAAAGGAGTATAACCTTGTTTTAAATCAGGGGACGTAAGTGTTGGTAGCAATGAATTTGGGGGTGTTTTAGCATGATCAAATAGGAAGAAACTCAATTCAGGGTTAGGACAAAAGAAGGGATACAAATCATATAAGGAAAATATTAGACTAGATTAAGTGGTAGAAGTAAAGGTCCTCAAAGTCTTCTTCCACACACCAAGGGCAACCAGAAGATTTTTCAGCATCTCAAGATATACTATGGTTTCATTTATAAAATAATATTAATCCATACTAATATTACACTTTGTTACTCTAGTTAGAATTCTAGAATCTAGCATTTATAAAGTGGTAATAGATATAAAATAATCTAGAGATGTTTCTCCTACAGAACTGATACTACAACTGATAGTATCCTAGGAAGTATGATAGATTCTTTAAAGAAAAACTCCCATCTTTGAAAACACTTCCTAATGTGGTAGCATGTAGTATCTTTTTTCCAAATCCAGACCAAATTTCCTACCTCATTTATCAACGTACTTCCCCCTGAAGCGAAGTTTATGCGATTTTTTTTGGTGCCATCCCCAGTTTTTTTAAAAATATATTTTCAGGTTAGTGCTTCTGTTCCAAATGAAGCGAGCTTTCAACTCCTATGCAAACTTCCGGTTAAAGGTAGGATTAGATCTCTTAGCCACACCCAAAAAGTTCTTAGCACTTGACAAAGGCAATTAGTTGTCAAGGTTCACATGCCAGTAAATGCTCACTCTTGAAAACGGAAAGCTTTTCTTGTTAAGTTTTATCAAAAGCCTTCCAGAACATGAAACAAAGTTTTAAAAAACATTCACTTTCTTCACCTTTAGATAGAAAACATTTTCCACTTAAGTTAAAATCTCAACTGAACGCATATTTGTTTCAAAGTTCTGCTTTAAGAACTGATATATACTTTCACATACCAGCTCAACTACTTTAAAAGGAAACACTCTGGCAAACTGACAATAACCCGAGGTCTCCACCCAAAAGAAACATGGTATTGTATTTAGGAGTTTTCTCAAACGGCAGACTACACCCTCAACCCCTCTTTGTAAATTATCACTTTAAAAAAAAGTTCTAATTACAGAAGTGGATGCTGAGCTGAGGAAGCTGCTAATTTGAGTTGGTTATTCCTACTAAACGTAGCCACACAGCTGCAACAACAGCTGCAGCACGGCGGACACTGGGCTTCGGTTTTTTGCGCAAACTCTCTTGAATCCGGCAAGTAAACGTTAGAAACTAAACATAGTCCAGGAGTCAGCGCCGCGGGGTTCGGGTTTCGCAGGCCCGGCTGTCGCCCAAGATCGCGGCGCCAGCGAGCTAAACCACACTCCTCTAGCTCCGACTTTGGGCAAAGGGACAAAGTCCGCGCCTCGGCTACTTCCGGGCGTGGCCTTCGATCCCAGAGCTGGCCCTTGGGCTCGAAACAAGGAACCCGCCAGTACACCTGCCCAGGTGCACTCCCGGCTCCGGTGGCCCGCTACTGCCGTCCCAGCCGCCCCGTCGAGATGGGCCCCCGCGATGGGCCTCGCGCACCATATCGCGGGCACCACTCACCCTGCACAGCCGCAAGAATCCCAGCACTTCGGTAACCCCTTCGCTGCCCTCGCTGCCGCTATCAGCACTCTTCTACTCCCAGAGCCCCCTAAAACCAACACTTCCGGCCTCCGCTTAGCAAACCGGAAGGAAGCCTAGTCACCATTGTCGGCCGACAGAGTGGGCCTGACTTAATAGAAAGACGACGGGTGGGGGGAGTGGCCAGTGTCCTAGGAAGGCGCAATTTTGAACGAGTGCACAGGAAGGAGCATAAAGCGGGCGACTTAGAACACAGAAGAATGTGTAATGGTTCGTTCGTGTAATTGTTCTACTGGGTTTCCATATTTTTGTACCTCCTCTTACAATATAGGCTTTTTCCCCCCTTTCCTGTTGGTAAATGGGTGAGCCTGCCCTGTGGGTTTGCCTCCCTGCACATTCCAGGGCACGTCCAGGGGCGGGGCCTGGCAAGCCCAAGTCCTTGTAGGGAAATAGCGCAGAGGGCTGTGCGGCCCACGTGACCCGCGCCCGCGCTTCCCAGAGTGCCAGACCCCGGCCGCCGGACGGTCGTGCGCCTGCGCGCGGGACTCACTCAGGGCGTGGGTCTCTGTCTGTAAGGTCTACGGGTAGGAGGTTCTATCTCTGTGTGCTGTGCTGTTTCGAAGGGTCCCACCCCTTATACGTTGGAGCAAACTTTCCTAAGTCCCCAGGGCCCTCAGCCAAGCGGCCACTACTTTTTTTTGGCCCAGGCGGATGTCATGAGGTCACGGATGATGAAGACTTCCTCCCTCTTCAAAACCGTTTGCTGTTATTTTTCCCACCGGATCCCCGGTTAACAAGGGAAGTCGGGACCTGACTAGGAGGGAAGACAGGCGACCAGCAAGAGCTAACTAAATCTTGCCCCAATCTCTCACTGTGAAGCGGACTTGCGGCTTGGTGAAAATAGGGATTAAAAAGTGCGGCCTATGTTTTCTCAGCTCTCCTTTTCTTGGACAGCTTCTAACAATGCATCTTGTTAAAGGAAAGCCCGCCCCAGTTCTGTCCTCTGCCCTTTTCCATCCAGAGCCTGGTGAGGAAGAGAAGACTGTGGTGCTGGGCACCTCAGCTCTCTGAGCTCAACTACAAAAGGAGTGAGTTGGACCGATATTACTGAGGATCGTCATCCCAGCCCTGAGGTTCAGTGCCTAGTTTGGCTCACGTGGCCAGAACAGTTCTGACGTTGGGGGTGGCTGTGGTTTTGGCCTCTCACTTGAATCACCCTGCTAAAAGGAAGCTAAAAGTTGCATTATTATGTATTCTGAATATTAACACACCGCAACTTCGAGGACCTCAGGAGCATTTTATCTACTAACCAATAGCATATTCCAAGGTTAACATTGAGGTAAAAATCACTGAAAAATAAATAACTGCCCTAATTCTATAGTGGGAGTGACACAAAGATGATTAGTTTCTTAAATGGCCTTGATATTAAGAATCACGGAGGTGCTGGTAAAAATTCAAAATACTGGGTGCCTTATCTCCAACCTAATGATTCAGAATCGCTTTAGAGCAAGTCCTGTGAAGCCATCTGTATAACTGGGGTCCTAAGGAACTCTTAACACTTGGGGATGCAGAGCTAGACAGCTTAGGGCCTAAGACCTAGGCAGCGGCAGGCCAAGTCCAGACGGCTTAGAGGTAGGGGTACCGCAGTTTGGTTTTGGGGTCTGACTTGGGCAGCAGTGTGAGCACCCTGCAGTGCACTCGCACCTCCACTGAGTGGTGACCTGCCACCACGGAGACCTGGAGGCTTCCAACTACTGTCCTTGTCTTCAGAAAGAAAACTTTAACCCACAATGAAATAGTTTAGTCTTCTCAGCTCGGAAGGAAGCAGCAGCATTCTTTTGCTTTTCTAAGTGTCAGATAATTGCCTTGTTTGCCTTGTTTCTTTCCTCTCAATCAGTCAACAGGTATTACACAGCCCTTGTATTTCCAAGTGTTGTGGTGGGTGTTGTGGTTTATGCTGTTTGAAATAGAATAAAGCTGCTATCTCTGGGGGGATTGGCGGAGAGGGAGTAGAGAGGATTGCAAAGGCACAAGGAGTGTCAGGGAACAGTTTGTAAAACAGATCGTTACAGTACAATTGCATAAGGCCCATAGAAGGAACATGGGAAGAAATAAACCTGTGTGGGGATTTGTGGAAGGTGGCCCCTAGAGGACTTTTGAAGAGCTGATTCTAAAAGTCAATGGGGAAGGGCACCTGGCTGGCTAAGTCTGTAGAGCATGCGACTCTCGATCTGGGGTGGTGAGGTCAAGCCCCCACATTGGGCATAGAGCTTATTTAAAAAAAAAAAAAAGGAATTAAAAATAAAAATTAAAAGTTAAAAAAAAACAGGTCAGTGGGAAAAGAGAGGAGAGGTTCCAGGCAAATGGAGGAGCACGCTTAATTGTCTAAAGGTGATCAGAGAAACTGGGTGATTGAAGAGGAATAGGAATTGTGTGGTCAGTGTTCATTCATTCCTTTATTCATTCCACAAGTAACTCTGGGTACACAAAGGTTAGCAAGCCACTGTGGAAAAATAAAAACCTTGATAAAATGTTTTTCACATTTTCACATGCATCTAATATATTGATACTTGTTTTAATGATTGGACCCACTGCCAAAGACCTCTGACTCTATAATGTCTCTATTCTTCTGACTCCATAAGAGATTTTTGCCCTCAGGTAACAATCTCCTTTTTACCTTAACTTTAGAGACTTGGGTTCTGCATCATATCCGCTCTTCAGCCTACTGAGTAACACTGAGGGCAAATCACTCAGCTGACCTCAGCCTCAATTTTCTGATTTGTAAAATGGGGATAACATCTTCCTGCCTACTTGATAGAGTTTCCTGATTAAATGAGATAGTTTATGTGAAAGGTCTTATTAAGTATAGAACAGTGGCTTTCAAACTTTTGATTAAAACTTGCTGTATGAAATTTATATCACTAAATAATACTTGAGTACGTACAATGTTTTCTAAGATTTCTATTTCAAAATTGGGCCATTTAACTTTTTTCCCATTCTGACTTCTTTATTGTACAGCTTTACTTTTTTTTTATTAATTTATTTTCAAGTTAGTTAACTTACAATGCAGAACCCAGTGATTCATCTCTTACATGTGACATCCAGTGCTCATCCAGAAAAGTGCACTCCTTAATGCCCATTACCCATTTAACCCACCTTCCCACCTCACCTCTCTCCAGCAACCCTCAGTTTGTTCTCTGTATTTAAGTCTCTTATGATTTGCCTCCCTCTCTGTTTTATTGTATTTTTCCCTCCCTTCCCTTATGTTCATCTGTTGAGTTTCTTCAGATTCCACATGAGTGAAATCATATATTTGTCTTTCTCTGATTGACTTATTTTGCTGCGTATAATACCCTCTAGTTCTATCCACTTTGTTGCAAATGGCAGGATTTCATTGTTTTTCATTGCTGAATAGTATTCCATTGTATGTATGTGGGTGTATGCGCATATATATA